GGTTTAATGACCCTGTAAGTATCTCAGACTACATAGCCTCTCGAATGATACGATGATTAATGATTTGGAAAGTATATAAAAGGAAGCGGTCGTGGCCTAATTACTGCCCCAGCACGTACCTGGAATGACAGAGTAAAACCATTAAGTCTGCTTCCAAATTCTTCCCTAATCATCGTTTGCAATTCTCTTCTAATTTGAATCGATAAAACGTTTGCAGTCAAATATCATAAAAATTGAACAACAGTATTCTAGCGTCGTCCTGGAAATGTATGCCGTTGTTTCTGTTTACTAACAACTTCGTAATTTTGGTCTAACACGCCTATGTATCCACCTGACTAAGCGGTGCTACATCCATCTTCATACTCGTCGCCATGACAACATCAAATCTCAACAACAGAATATTTATTCGAAAATATCAAGAAACAAGTTTTTAAATGTTATTTTAAACCGACCCATTGTATTTATAGGCGCTATTTCTGAATAAAAATATAAAGTAATCACGACCCCATTTAACATAGATCGTAAACGACCATACTGCTGTTTCAATTCGACAGTCACAGTCATACTGTGCTGTTCGGTAAGGTCTTAAGCAGTACAAATTACGAATTTTACTACGCACAACAAGAACAGACATGATATATTTTAATATAAAATGTTTCGTTTAAAATGCAATCCTCCTACAACAGCATTCCTAAGCTTTGGTGTCAACAAACTAGTTGTATTTTAGTTTGCATTTCTTAGGATAACTCACAGAACAGATTTGCAGCAGATGCTGAAAATTCCCTTCACCTTCTAGAAGCAGAGCATCCTTCCTTTTCAGTGATACTTCGTAAAGTGTTTGGCTACAGTGCGTTTAATATTATGTTTCACATCTTCCAAGTTTCGTGGGTTGTTCGACCAAATTCTTTCTTTGAAAAACACCCCACAAAACAAGTGTTCGCATTTGCAAATGGAGTGAGCAGCGGCCTATAATCCCGACTGACCGTGACTCACGTGTCAAGGGAGAGTCCATTACACGAGGGTGGACCTGCTTCTGATTAAATTTGTGTATTGCAATACGCGATTCGTGCAGCGTTGCATTTGAAATGGAACACGCTGTACTGTAAATTCATATGAAGATAAGTTTTTCAATTCGTTCTGTCCCCACAGCATCCAGGTGCGTTCTTTGCTTAAATAAATACGAGACACACCCAGCGCTGATAAAAAAGACTGACAATCCTAATCTACAAATAAATAGATTTCCGTCTTCTGGGTTGTTGAGCTGTGTAGTCTGGTCGATGTTAACCAACGTTTCAGAGGTCATACTGTCTCCGTCATCAGGGCGATGAATATGCAATGATACTATAACACTATAATTAAAAACTCAAAACAATCAGTTGCCAGTGGCAACACGTTTCGATACGAAAATGTCATTTTTAAGCGAACTTCATCTGTAATGAGCTAACTACAACTTTAAATCTATTAAATTAGAGTTTAATTTAATATTAAATCAAATGGGGATATTTATACGGCAAATAGGCAAATCGTTGCATACATTTCCTTTTACAATGTGGTAGTCTTAGGTACAGTATTTATTTAGTGCTGACTACCTATGCTGTAATATTTGAACAAATTCTGTAAAACGTTTAGGTGGACTGTGTGTGGGTACTTCATTTGAGGCTGTCTGAAGATAAAGTGTAAAATATTTTGGTGGTCTAAGACACTTTGGGCCACAGAAGGTTGTATCTGTAATTACAGTCTAAATTATGAGGGTGTTCGTTTTAATGTAACTGGGGGGAAGCTAAAACAGTGAATTAAGCTCTTATATATGAGTGTGGTCTAACAGTTTAAAAAGTTGTAAACCTTCAAACAGGGCAAGGACCCTAGAAGATACAGGTCTAAGTACTTTGAAGAAGAAACGGCTTAAAACTTCCTTCCTTCAAATCTGTTACACTTCTTTAAGCATTCATAGTTAAGCAGACATGTTTTAAAAACAGTAGAAGTTTGTGTAGTTTTTTCAGACTTGCTCCGAAAACCTTTTTTTTTTACAACACATAGTCTAATATGCGGCCATACTGTTTACACACTCATGCGTCTATATATAATGCACATAGCTATACCTGAATCATTGACGTTCGTTGTGTTTTTCTTCTTACGTCAGAGTATCCTCACTGCCCTCGTTGAAACGAATTAACAACATAAGTTGGTGCACAAGTGTGTATGATATTGGTCTCATCCCAGTTCATGGTTCTATCAGACACCGATGCGATTCGATGAAAAACAATTCTTTAGTTGCCACAGTAACTCTACGTTACAACATGACTGCCACTGTTTCCTTCAGAAATTACCAATCACTTTACAATAGCAAAAACGAACATTGTCAAAACACCATGGGATATTAAAAAGTGATCATACTTTCAGCTGTTTTCTTACACCGCTGTTTCGCTTAGATATCGCAACGAGTCGCTAGTGTGCTGCTTGGCAATCGATAAGTGGGGCGACTCCGTTCCGCGCCTGCGTAGAGTCAGGGATGGATCTGAATGTGATATTAAATAGGTTACCCTCATCTCAACAGCCCAGCCTGCTTCGTCTTGAACAGATGGATGGCATGGAATGAATTACGCTGAAACTAATGTATCCAGAGAATCTGATTTCCTACAGTCCCATGTGTCTCTTATTAACAGACAGAATGTTCAAACATACTCTGCACACAGATACGTAATTGCAAAGTCTACAACTTTCCTTGGTTGATACCGTGATATTAAAGTTGGTAGCAATGTATGACAGTCGTTTACTGTTGAGAAGTGTTTACTAGAAAGACTATATTATTCACAGTAATGGACCTGTCGTAAGACAGAACACTTAACAATAATAATAATAATTATGTAAGTATGTTTTGTTCTCAAATGTTCGGTAACTCTTTGAATATTCTGCACACACCAATGTTACAAGCGTTAGTTACTTGTTGTCTTCAAGTTCTTACAGTAATTTATAGAGATGACAAAAAAATTTTGACCCTAAAATACCAAATTGTAACTATATGTGCCACATTCTTGAACAAAATATAACTCTTAATTTTGCCCACAGAGTGTTTGTGGGCCTTGTATGATTCTCAGATAAAACAACTATTATTTCCTTAAACTCCACTAACCACACAGCAAACAATGCCTCTTGTTTCTTGATCTGTAAATGCCTGTGGTGCCATACCGTTGCACAAACCAAACCAAAATCACTAATACAGAGTTCCGACCGCCAAGTAACCTGACGCGGACAATGCCCACTGCTACAGAACTGAATTATATTCGTTTGTGCGTCTTCATGTCCAACAATTCTACTGCTAAGTTCTCCATTGCTTTAATGTTACGTAACTTGTGCGTGAAATTAGTACTTCCGACCACTTCTCAGGCGTCTTACGTTTTGCTCTGTGATACTTCTCAGTTTGCTGCAAACAGCACCACAGCGTCAACTTAAAATTACTGAATATTCAAAGTTCTTAACCAACTACATCATTAATGGTCTTCACAGACCACTTCATTGTTATTCAATGATGTTCACTGAAATTCCCTTATCCCAAACTAGTTCAATCCAATTAACGCTTACATCCTGTTCCTCTAAGATCCATTTTAATGTTAATTTTCAATAGTGGTATAAACGTAACGAATTCATTACACTGTCTTTTAAATATTCTAGTTATTTGAGAGTTTGCAAACAAACGAACTGTAACAAAAAGTTCGATTGTGAACATCTCTATGAGTAACGGCGTTAAGACACAAGCAATGCCAATCGGACAACCACAGACTTTGTCGTTTGCAAAATAATAAAGTCATGCACTTAAGCTACTGTCTGTTCTGCTGTGTAAAATACCATAGGACAAATGTGTGTACTACTGAAATGAATGATGATAACGCGGAACAGAACATTCAGTCCAGAACTTAGGATATAAAATGCCTTTCGGCTCCTTTCCAATAACCACTCCCACACGCAACACTCACATCGTAACATTATCTAAAATAAGTTAATGCCAATTAATCTAAACTTACAAAAACATAAAACTTAATGTAATTTCACAAGTAATTCATACGTTTAATTAGTGGGACAATCATACTTTCATTAAAAATCAAACTTCTTAACAGACAATTTGTTGTAAACGTTAAGAAATTCATTGCAAAAATGTTAGCTCGCGAACACTTCTTTATTAAAACCAATAAACTGGTGAAATCCAAAGAGTAAGACAAACATTTTACAAGTGCGTTCTTTACAATTGGTCTCTAAATTAATCTACTTTAGACAAAAGTCTGTTGTTACAAATCCAAATAACATTACAGACTCTAGCCTTGTATTTTGTAAAAAAAATTAACGACACTTCTGTGTGTCGAGGCATTTTGATTGAATCGGTAAAGATTGTTTTCGCGTTAACCGAATTAAATTTGCCTCTCAAAACATGCATCACCAAGTTTAATCGATATCCATTCGGTACCTTGCAAGACCAAGCATGCAGACGAACGAATCTCCTCATTGTGTGCGCATATAAACGCAAAGAGCGCATAATCGTGCCACTAATCGATCGGCATGCGAGATAATTCACGGAATCTGACACAATGTCACTGCAAGTTATTCGTCCTAATAAAGCCATTCTGTGACCGAGTTTCAGAATGTTGTCTGTAGTCGGAAACACGATACTCAATATAAAATATGGTGGGGAAGTAAACATCAATCAGCCGGAATTGCGCAAACATGTCTGATAAGACCGAGGTATAAATAAGAAATTACCATACACGAAATCTCAATCAACGAACGTAATAAATCAGGACGCAAGTGGGCAGGAAGATCATACATTACGTCACCCGCACGTATTCAGTTAAGTTCAAGAATGGTTTACAGTACATTTCAACCCATGTCAATGTCCAGTGAATCGAGTTGCATATAGTTTAGGGCGGTATCGCACTAGGATGCCAACGGGAGGCCATGGCGCAGCTGCCAGCATCTCGGCCAAACTCAATGCATTAATTTCGTAGTCATACGTATATCGCACCTGGCATCCGTCTGGCAGCGCTTCCAACTTGGCATCGCTGCCAACCAAGATGCCAAGTTCAAATGCTACTGGCATCGCTGCCACGGTCAAGGCCAAATCAACATCACATGACAGTCTGGCCAGTCCATTGACGTCCATGCGTGAATGTGCTTGTGTGTATTTCTGTTTCTTCCAAACATGGATAATTTCGACACCGAAAGATTGATAATTTAAATTCAGTCCCGACTATGGGATTCATCTGCTATTGAATACGCAAACCGGGACTTGAAAAAAAGAAACTGGGTAGAACTTGTGGAAATATTTGGAGGAGATTTATTTACAGTAGAAAAGAAAGAATTAGCTAAGAAGTGTTTCTATGGCTTTATTTGTGGGGCCGCTTTCCAATATGGCAACTTGATTTATAAGTTTTTTTGTTTAGCAATCTATATATCACAAATAATGTGAATTAAGAAGAAACCTGCTTTTATAACGTTTTATTAAATAAAGTTTTTCATGTAATATTACATGTGATTTGAAATAACTGAAATATTTCAAATTCAATAATGGTATGGACGTGCAAAGTGTGTGTATGAAGAATTTTTCTTACTTATTTCTTTGTTACAGAATTGAAATTCACTCCAGGTATGTAGTTTTGATAAAGGTAAATCTCAATTTATCAAAAGTGATAAAAGTGGACATTTCTCCTTGCTAATAGCCCTTCATTTCGTGATCTCATAACGTTGATCCATCTGTTCGCTCGACTGGCGTCGAAAGCTGGCAGCTTGTCTGGCGTCTTTTTGTGGCAGCTGGACGCCATGGCATCGCTGTTGGTGTCGCTGCCATGGCATCCTAGTGCGATACCGCCCTTAGTGTACAGAATCTGCAGCCAGTGTTCGAGACATCCAAGAATATAATCCCAACATGAATCAGCTACGCTAATAGGTTGTCGTTTTTTGTAACAGTTTAAACACTAAAATGCGAAATGTCTGTACAAACAAATACTTTGAGCGTAAACTCATGTCATAATTAAACTTTTTTAACATATTAACTTGGCTCGGCTCATGGAGGATGATGTAACGACACCTGAGTAAACACGAAACATTACATAGTCACTCAAGGAAATGTTGTTAACTATGCATTTAATTAAACCGCCACAAAATCCACTTCACATCATCCCATCTCTTCCAGTTCTCAAAAATAATTTCCTCCTTTTAGATTTTCTCGCCTAAAATGGAACACGCATTTTTCGTACTTCCTATGCTAGTTACTTGGCCCACTCATCTCATCTTCCTTGATTTGATCACTTTGTTAATATTTTGTGAAGAATACAAATTATGAATATCAAATCTAAAACTTCTTGACTAATCCCTATCTCCGGAGATAGGGATTAGCTCTATCTAGTGGGCCCAACTGAGTAGGAACCTGAAGACGGAGATAGAGCCCCATCTCCGAAACGTCGTTTTACGTTTTATATTTTATTTACTAGACGATGGATAATATCCAAGAAATTTTTTATTCAAATGACAAATTATGAAGCTCCTCGTTATGCAATTTTATCCGCCCTCCTGCTACATACTCCTCTTAGGTTCACCCTTTTCTCAAACACCACACGTCAGTTTTATTGGCTTAGGATGACAGATCAAGTGCCAAAATCAATTGGCCAAACTGTAGACTTATTTTACTTTTTATAATAGACTGAAAGACAAAAGATTCTTATGCAAATCGCAGCAAGCACTCTCCGAATTTAATGTGCACTTAATTTCTTCCTGAATGTAGTTTTGATAGATTAATATCGTTAGAAATGTTTCAGCTTTGTCACAACTTCGTAAGATTTGTTACCTATATTTAGTCCTATATTATGATTCTGCCCTGTATTCTGATGACGAGGCACGAACATACAGGCACCTAAATCATTGCAAAGAATTTTCATACTCAATTCGGAACTAATTCCGACTTAATTTTTATCTGTGTATACAAACAGCACATGCAGACTTCGCCACTTCAATCTCTATCTGATGCCGTAGGAGTGATCTTTCTGCACCAAAGCAGCTTCCTGTTTCCTGTCTATTCGGTCCCTTTTTGTACCGTCCCCTGCGGAGCCATGTTCCTTCTTTCTGTGCTTCTCTTGTTTTATTTGAGATTTCCGACAGAGTTCAGTGATTCCTTTACCTTCTTCTTCCTAGGCGGTCACTGTTCTCTCAGAGACAACCGCCCATGGCTTTTGAACTGTCGTTAGCAAATTGTTTCCGTTACTATCAAAAATGGGATTTTCACGAACAAACAGGAGAATAATATTTAAGAATTACAGGAAATGGGGTGTGGATTCAACCGGCTCTGGGTGGGCAATGAACTTCCGGGTTCTATAAACGGCGGGTAATTATATACCAGTGAGCGACTATCGCCAAATCAAGAACTCTGCTCCACGGAGTGAGTCAGTTACTCGGAAAATCTTCAAGATTTGCAACAGATATAATTTCTAACTGGTATCGTAGCGTTATAAAGCTCACCAGTCAATTTAAAGAGTAACTGATTACACTCCAACGTTTCGAAGGCTATTTCTGCCTCAGTCATCAGAGTATCTATGATGAGTGACACGTTGGACTGTATCTCCATATTAACACAGCTGATGGCTCTGGAATATTTCACTACATTTAGTCATCGTGAAAGCTTAAAATCTTATTTGACACTTATGGGTTATTTATGAGAGTCAGTAACCTTTTTCACCTTATCAAGAGATTTCTTGAGAAAACAGATGTATGACTGTATACATTATTTGTAGTAGTGTATTCATACTTGCACAAAATAAAACGCAGAAACCATAAAACTGTAACAGCTGCGTGATATTGGAGGTAGTTGAATTTAAATCGGGCGATGGAGGAACGGGTTCTGCTCGACTGGAAGCCAATGCTCCTTGACATCCGAATGTGAAGACTCACGCATGGATGTGCAAAGACCGTGATATCTTCATACGACAGACAGCTCAATACCGTCCCCGATTTGCCGCCATTTCTTCGCCAAGTTAAGACGGAAAAGTGAAGACGAGATGGCGAGTCGTAACAGTTCTGCTCTTTCCAGCAGTCACTTCTTCACTTTCACTTCAATTGCATTTAAAACAGCTATTATCTTTCTCTCATTTCAGGACTTTGACTGATTGATCCATTGATTTATTATAAAACACATTGTCAAATCAACAATTACGAACATGTCATTATTTGAAAAATTTAACGTATACGGAAAACATATGCATAAATACAATCTTCCGTAAAAACATAATAATATTTAACACATTTGCAGCCACAAACTTTACAATTTCTGATTCGAGTAACAACGAATAGTACGACCATCTATACACAGACCCAACATGCTAACCTGTGTACTTATCTGTTGGATTATAATTTAAATTATGCCTAGCAAATTATTGTAACACTGACATAAATTTTGGAAAAATGGAATCCAGTGTAATATAAAGTACGCGTTATTATTATTATTGTTGTTGTTGTTGCTGTCGGAACTCTTGACTTCTCACACAAAACGCAGTAAATAACTGGCGGACATATTTGTCTCAGTCCGCAACAGACGGGTTACCAGGAATGTCATTTAATTTCTAAGTACGGAAACCCTAACTGAATTCTAGATAACCGCACGCATAATCCACGGTTAAAGCAAACTTTAGCCCGCCAGACGAGAGGAAGATCAGGACTGCATCTCCAGCAAGTCTGTTCATAGTACAGATGGAGATGATGGGGCTCTTTGTGCGTGTAATTGGATTTACCCCTGGTCAGTCACTATGCTGAATCTGTGTAGCCTACTGCTAGGGGATTTCTGCGTTTCTATTCATGGCTGGAAAAGAGGATTGACTCCACAGCAATAGGAAGAGGGAAGGGTGTATCTGACGTGCGCCAAATGACGTCTTGCTCTGGCTTCTTAAACCATAATCAGTCAGTACTTCGTTCTGATTGCAGTTAAGCCCAGGCTATAGTCACAGTTCAGAAGAACGAACAGGTACAAGTAATCTTAGGTAGTCATTCTTTCGTCGTCGTTTTTTTTTGTTATTAATGTTGTTATTATTATTATTATTATCATCATCTTTTTTCTTTGTGTATAAATTTGTTTCTTTTTTGGGCTTCCCTGTAATTGGCTGTTATATTTAATACTGTATAAATTTAATTAATCTCTTTTTGTAATATTTTTCTTTATTATCTCATTATAATTGTATATTTATCAGTGTTTGCCTGTTATTGGCTTCTTGCTGTTGGCAAACACGTAAATAAATTAATTGAATTGAATTGAATTGAATCATCACCATCACCATTATCTTCAACTCCCAATGGTCCCTATTCTAAGCCGGTTAAATCTACTCAACACCCTTAGAATCTATTTATTTAAGAGCCATTTCAATATTTTCTTTCCATCTCCATCTTGTATGGCACGTAATATTTATTCGAAGAGCGCTGTGGAGTGACAGGGAGGGAATTAATTACGTTGACACGAAGCAGTAATTTCAAGGTGGACGAGTCCTTCCTGCAACCATGTAAATCACATCAAGGTAAGCGTCTTGAAACATGCAAGAGGCCTTCGTGCGATAAAAGGCAAAACTTTATGTCTTCTGGTTTGCGGAAACTACCTTCAAACAACGCTGAAGTGTCATAACTTTTCGGCAAGGAGATATAATTGAAACTTGTTTAATTAATGTTCAAAATGTTATATACCTTTCAAGATGAGAGTGTGCCGGGCAAACATTCGCCAAGAGTTTCGTTAAGGCAACAAGCTTTGCGATAAGCATTAAGGTAGCTCGAGTCAGAGTTAAATAATTTGCCAAAGTCAGACCATTAGTTTTCCTTCGAACCTACTAAGTTTTCACTGAGTCTTCTGGTTTGTATTACCGTGTAGTGTGGTAGAAGTTCATCAGTTTCAGAGGTCCTTGCTGCCCTGATAATAGAGGCAGCAAGGACATCTAAACTGCTGATAAACTTCTACCAGACTACAGGGCAGAAGACGCCATCTTCGAAAGATATCTCAGCCCACTTTCCTTGTTTATATGAAAGTAGGCCTTAAGGTATAAACACGCCCCTACACGCCCCTGGGTATGTGTGTCTCCTCTAGTATGTTTTTAACCAACTTTGAGCGTCATAGTAGTCCCTCATTTTCAACAACACCAATGCAGCGAAATTCCGAATTTCTGCGATGGGAGCAAAATTTAATTTAATATAGGCCACGACCTTGACATTTTGGGCGACAATGGATCTTGCAAAAATATACAGATCCACACTTTTTATAAAGGTAACAGCAGATAAACGACTAGATTTTTATTCTCTTATGGTCATAAACAACAAATTTATTTTCATATTTTGTACGAAACATTGTATATTAAGACTTAACGTATTTATATGGACACTGCATAAATCGTTGCAGTTACGTCCGACATCTTTCTGGCAATGGGAGTCTATAACATAAATTATGAACGAAAACAGTGCTGTAATGTGCTCAAATTATAACACCACCGATGCTATGAAAGACTTTACAAATTTAAACTAAACGAAAGAAGTGCTCCTGTCAATGTCGTTTGTAAACAGACTGAAATATAAACTTTTCGTAGACTGGTTCTTGAATTCTTCTTGGCGATCACGTCTCAACTGCACAGCGTTGGCAAAGATGGAATGATCATGATTATAAACGGCGTGATGGCAGCAGACAAGAATTTGGAAGAAATGATTATATTAACTCAGAATTTGCTTGAAGAGACACAGGACCCTCCGAAATTATATTAAAATGAAGTACTTAGAGACTCACCTTTGAAACGTCTTGCACACCGCACCGCTAGCAGAGTTGCTGTAGAGGACAGTCTGCTGTATGTTCAATAAATTCACTTTTACGCATGTAGTTTGCAATCGTTTCCACGTAGTGACCACAACAATAATAATCACCATGACCATGTGCAGTAGCACAGAGTATTATCAAGGTCGCTGTTATTCAGACAAAGGGCAGTGTCGTTATAGAACGCAGAACACGATGAACCTATTGGAAATGCTGGCCGGTTTAGCCTGAACATGGACCTAATCTTCTTGTAGAGCATTCTGTCTGACTCATAGTCTTCAACAAACCACGGAGATTTCCATTCGACTTCAACTTGATAACCTCTATTCTTTGTGGAATCCAGTGCCTATTTGCTTGTATTAACCTACGACGTAGGAAGCATTCTCCCCCTTACCATCTGACTTCGTTGGAGGTTACCTTCTTTGGAGGTAATCTTTACAAGTCATTCAGTTTGCTTTGTCGTTCGATCCAACTTATTCCTTGTTCCTTCGGCTTTACTGTCGTTTTGTCGGAGACTGAATATGAGCTAAGGTTAGTTCTTTATAAAAAGGAATTGTGGTTATTATGACATTCCTTGAGTGAGTCTTCTTTCCTCTTTCCCCTCCTCTACACTTCATCTTATGACATGTTTCTCTGGTGTTAACGATCTTCCTTCTTGGTCTTCATTTTCATTCTTTATTCCAAAAAATCCACAGAAAAACTCCCTTCCAAGAAATCATACAACTATGATTTGAACGGTGCGTTTGGCTGTTTATTAAAGTCTAAAAAACTTAGGTAACACAACCTTAATATATCAGTTCGTAAAAATACATAACAATTTTCAATTAATACAATCACCAAAAATGTCAAATTTGCATAGGTATTTTCTTGAAAGAAAAAGTTCATAAAAACATTGCCGTTAGACTTTCACACACAAACACAAATATTCCACTACAAACATATATGAAGATACACAATTACTGTATACGGTGCTTCCCTCTAGTGGTTCGGTCAATGGTGGTAACAGGTATCGATCGAACTGTGTCGATATATGTTGGCATAGTCTGTGATCGATAGTAACACAACAGTAACTTCGTGTTGTATATGAAACAAGTGTTTTAAGTGTATTGTTATGTTCCAAACTCCGAAGTGGGATTTTGATGCTTTTTCCGAAAATTTGCATTCACATTTGTTCAAAACTGTACGTTGACATAATATGTCCAATACACAGTTTACAATTGTGGTGTGTTTACTTTAAATGTTAGGTTAGGGTTGGCTTTATCCGCATTAACAAACACTGATAACCTAAAGGCATATTTCCATTAGGTTTAGATTAAAAATTTTCCAGAATTGTTACACTATGCACGGATTTTTTAACTTGTTTCCAGGAACTTCAATTTAATATTCAAGTAACGTAGGCATTAATTTAACAATATGGACAATGGAATGAACCTGACCCTTTCATTTCCCACGTTGTAGTAGTTGGTAAATGTTTTCATTCTGTTCAGTAAAAATATTAAAATATTAACACTCGGTGCCTTTCCAAGGTTGTAAGAAATAAGTTTCCTTTACAGACAGTAAGCTATTTGTCATTACTTTTAAGTTATGATTTGTGCTTTACTTTGTACACTTATTTGTATTTGACTTTATAATATCCTTGCTTATTGCCTTTATATTCACAATGTCAGTGGCCTTTAGTCAAAACATGCTACATCTGAAATAAAACAAAAATAAATACTTTTGCCTTTGCACAATAAATCTATTAACTAATAAGTACTTGACAGTATATAGTTTCTTATTATAGGCTGTCTTCTAAAACGATTCTGTTATTATTGCAGCACTCTTCAAATGTAAAAAAGATACAAAAGAAAAGCAGGAAAAATGTTAAAACTAAAATAAAATACAGAGAGTTCTTTCCAACAAAAATTAATCAGGATATGCACATGCCTGTTCTCAAGGCTGCAAGAAGCAAAACAAAAGATGTTAAAACAAACTGTATGCCCTTACCAAATTCTGCAAACAATATGCAAAACTTCAAAAGGAAAAAGATTAAGAATAAAGGAAGGGATATGAAAAATTTGTCATATGGCAAATGCAAGTATCATTCCTTTGATAATGAAACAAGGACATGTAATTCTGAACTTTCCGAGGCAAATCTGACATCGAAGCAGAAAAGAAAACGGTCGCTTTCATTTGACACTGAGCCAGTACACTGTAGAAATAAAAGAAAGAAGGTGAACACGACTTGTTCTCAGGATGACCCATTGTCACTTGTAAGTAACATTTCAGACAAGCCTACAGAATCTGAAAAGAAAGAACTCACAAAAATAAATGGGAAAAAACAAAGTAAGAAGAAACAAAAAAATGTTATTAATAGTAGAATGGAAAATGTATCAGAAAATTTTGAAAAACTTGGGTCAGCAAGTAAATCACCATACAGTATAAACAAACTAAAACAAATTCTTGCAGCTTCAAATGCTAACAAAGAATTGAGCAAGGAAAGTATTTCTGAGAAGAAACAGGTTAAGGAAACTGGATCATTACGTGAAAGAATGATGAAGAGACTGCAAGCATCTCGTTTTAGGTAAATAAGGTTCTATGAGAAACTGAGTAAAAACTAAGTTTCAGCTTTCTAAAAGATATAAGTTCATGACAGGTTTCATCATGAACAGATTCACGTCTGTGTAATTTGTTGCCTCTCTATCTGTACCAGACAGCCACTTTTTCAAAATCATATATTACAGTGTATATTCTTTAAATTAATGTAATATGTATATAGAAGGTAATCACAAAACAACAATCTCTTGTTATGGTTGGTTTTAAAACTTAAACATTAGGTACAGACCTTACAAGTTCTAACTTTTCTTTTCACTTTGTACTGCATTTCTGTATCAGAAAGGAGACCTGTCGTAATCGCTAATATGAAATGACATATAAGTTTACTGCTGGTAAAACTAATAAAATATGTAGGGTTGAATTAATTTCCCCCTTTATTTCTTTAATCTTTATCAGCCATGCATCACAGCTTATGTAGGGTCCATGTGGCCATATGTCGCAGTAGTGTACTGTTAAACCATTAAATCCTGGACTCCAGTTAGTGGCACCATAGTATGGAGATTTAAATCTCCTATTCCCATATGAGAAAGGTTAAACATTTCCAAACTGAGACATGAGAAATATTTATAAGAGAAAATCTAGTTTGTAATTTATAAATGACAAAAGTATTTAAATGTCTTACCTTTCTTCCACACTGTGCGCTTCATTTGTGGTTGAAATGTTCACTAATACCTGCTACAAACACTAGACACACTCAGTGACTTAACATTTATCTTACTAGACATTTTCAACCATAATTGTCACGACGGTGTTTCTGTCATTACCGAGTATGTGTTTCAGGTATCTCAATGAACAGCTGTACACATCAAATGGCAAGAATGCAAAGAAGTACTTTGAAGCTGAACCAGAAGCATTTGAGGCCTACCACAAAGGTTACCAACAGCAAGTGCAACAGTGGCCCATCAACCCACTTGATATCATTATAACAGCTCTGAAAAAGAAGTAAATCAGCCAATTACTACCACCAGTATTACAAAATGTTGTTTATTCATGTTTCATTATTTTCTCCCCAGTAGTTATGAGTCCACCCATACTCCTTTTTGAAGAATGTTGCATAATGATAATGGAATAATTCACAGGCTTTCTCATTATATAATTTTTTCCATTTTGCATCTATATTTTTGTCTTAAGCAGCCCATCCACGTATGAGTCTGGCTCGGCGAGCTTGACTCGTGAGCCGGGCTCGGATATATTTCACCACACATAGCAGACTCGGCTCATGACACCCCACCCACAAACGAGTTTGGCTCAATGGAACCCGAGCCGAGCCGGACTCATACATGGATGGGCTGCTTTAGTATGTTTACTGGAACTACAAAATGCTCAATGAAATGAGCAGTATTACAGGTAAAAATTACAGAATTTAATGAGATGAGTACATATTTTGTATTATACATGCTTTTTGATAAGACAGAAATTGTAAGAAATTTCTTTATATATATCAGTTTACGGAACAGTCCCAGTTACCATGGTTGTATGAAAAATAATAGAACAGTCCATGTTGCCAGATAATCACTTACACAAGCATTTTAATTCAAGTTATATAAAATCACATTAGAGTAATTTGCAGTGTACCGTACATTTCTAATACTGTATCTAGTATTTGATTTTACATTAAAGAATACAGATATAATTTGTCTTTCTGCCCTTTTGCACATAACCAAGAACCCATAAGATCACAGTGTGAGTTCTTGTGCCATCACATATAAGAATGATATATTATGTCAAATATCGTGCAGGTCATCAAAGCTACTGGTTGCAGACTTTGGATGTGGTGATGCACACTTGGCTCATTCTATACCAAACAAGGTGTATTCATTTGACCTTGTGGCTACTGCGAAGGAAGTGACAGCTTGCAACATGGCTCGCACACCCCTCTCTACTGCCAGTGTGGATGTTGTTGTCTTCTGCCTTTCACTCATGGGTACTGACCTGAGTGCCTATCTTACTGAAGCAAATCGAGTACTTAAAGAAGGGTGTGTATTCATGTTAATGAAACATTTATGAGATTTCTTACTATAACACTAAAATTTATACAAAATTCCAGCATTGTCTTTATAATGATATGTCCAATTTAATTTAAATGGTAACATGTCACCTTCAGTTAAGCTTTCTTTAAGTTTCTTCAATCATACAAGTTCATGGAATCTTCATTGTTATGACAATTAAATTGCACTGACTGTGATATTGAGATATGTGTATTAAATGTGTTGCATTCTTCACTACAGGGGTCTGCTGAAGATAGCAGAAGTGGAAAGTCGTTTTGAAGATGTTCAAACATTTATCCAAAAGTTGAAGAAATTTGGATTTGTAAACACTTGGAAAGACTTGTCTCATAACCTGTTTTATTTCATGGATTTCAAGAAGGAAAAGTGCATCAGCAAGAAAATGAAAAAGAAGCTGCCAGAATTAATATTGAAGCCATGTTTATACAAGAAAAGATAAAAAAGAAAGTAACTTAAAATATTAATCCCAGATACTATGTTTTTAATGTTTCTATGGAAGGGCTAGAAGCATTAATGTGTCCTAGTGGAAACAAAGTACATCTTATGATGACGCATCTGCAACACTCCAGCTGGCCAACACAAATCTGACCAAGTATGCTTGATGCGAATTACAGAATCCAATGAATTATTGAAGCTGATGATAAACCTGGTCATGGTATCCATTTATCTATCAAGTACTGGTCTGAAAGTTGAACCATTGAAGGTCAGCTTCTGTAACTTCTCCAACAAATAATTATATATTTGTTTCTCCCATGCATGCTGCATGCCCAGCCCTTCAGTCTCCTTGATGACATTATCAGAACTATTTAAGCGTGAATTAAATGGCCACACAAAACTGTGAAGTTCCTTTACAAGCTGCTGCTTTAACTTTTTCTGTCATATTTCCCCACTTTCATTTACAGTGACCAGGTCTGTATGGTTAAAGAAGTTTCCTTGCCTACCTCTAGGTCATTCTGATTGGGTACTGTATCTCGTTACCACTTTACCTTGTGGGTACTGTAGTCTTCAGTGACCAGACATGTCAAGGTATTTACAGATATGTGTCTGAAGTTTCCTTCATGTAAGATTCGAGGTTTTTACAGCGGTGAGTATGAAGATTTCTGTCTTCTGAGTTGTTGCGCTGTGTAGTCTGGTCGATGTTAACCAACGTTTCAGAGGTCATACTGCCTCTGTCATCAGGGCGACATCTCAAACGTTGGTAAACATCGACCAGACTACACAGCGCAACAACCCAGAAGACAGAAATCTTCAAGTTTCCTTCAGCTGGTAGAGAGTGAATGCTGATCAGGACATGTCTGTCATTTGTCTTTCAAACAAACAGCCCTCACATTTTGGCATGTGATAGTATATTATGCTTCATCTTTAAGGAATTTCTCACAAAACAGGATAGCACATTCTTCCTATTATGGAAGACTAAACCTCAACATTTTGAATGTGATGAGAGGGAGGCACAGCAGTAATCCTTTTCTAAGTCTCTTGACAAAGCATACTGTAAATGTATATTCAGTTAAAGACATCAGGATATAAAGCTAAAATAAAAGTTGATCAATATGTAACTTTCATTAATCCCTACTTATGCTTATATTTTTTAAATCTTTTGTTTCATTTCTAAGACATGAAGGTGCTGGTATAGGTTCTGTTGTATACAACCATGAAAAGGATGCCGCTATTGGATATACCTCAATGTTCGTCATGCTTACAGTACAGTGCAAAGATGAGCAAGCAAGAAAATTATGATATATGAATTTTAATATTACTGTATTACAAGTTTGGTTTGATCTCAGTAGGATTCAGCAGAACTGTCAATATGTAACATAATAAATACCATATTGTTTCTAAAATACCAGAATGAACTGCAGATGGAACTACACATCCAATAATCCAACTGCCCACACCTAATTAACATATACTGTAATGTATACTTTAAGATTAACCTTTTCTCCCAATCTGCAATGTAAGTAATGATTAAGTGATCATGTACCATTCAGATGTATGTACTTTCAAATGACAGTTGATCCAGGTACACACAAAAATCTGTATGAAGAAATTAATGGATATAATTACATAACAATATTAAATAAGGTTTTCTACAAATTCAGCATATACTGATTTCCAACCGTGATTATAATATAAAACATTACACTGATATAAAATTTCATATTTTCATCAAATAAGATAGTCCCCTTGAGTATATGGAAAAAATATTCCATACACTTTATTAAATAACAGATTCTGAACAACAAAAATATCAACATTTCCAATTGTTCACATTAATTTAATTTGAATCTTGTATAAGAAACCTGGTAAATTAAAAACAGAAAGCTGTGAACAATAGCTCTGTTCATTCTTATTCTTTTAAAGACAATAAATTAAAAATCTGACACAAAAAGAATAAATTCAGTGTTAATCCAAAAGTTTGATTTGCTACCTAATTTTTAAATAAATAATACAGAAAAATTATTCATGGAATAAAACATTCATAAAATTATAATATTACTATTTAGCTATGATAAGCATTAAAAATCTCTTAACTACTGAGTAGGTTCATATTTACTATCCAAAAACATGATTATGGTTCCTTAAACCGTCATTAAATGGAAAAAAGTTTAAATTATTCTCAGACTAATTTTTCAAGCCTTGCAACAATTTTATTATCCTAAAACAAATCCATTATGTTTTGATTTTCAATCAGAAGTCAAAGTGCATCTTCTTTACTGGAAATAATTTATAGTAGGTGAAAGACTCTCGGGCAACAAGCCGCGCCAGTTGGCTAAACGGTGACTGAACCATTTCTTCCGCAATAATAGTGTAAAAATCTCAGGACAGCACCTCTCAAGAACATGAAGAAAAAACTAAATTCTACAAGATACGAGGATCATTGGACTGCACTGCTCACATTTTCTCCAATTTAAATATGGTATTAATTTTTGCTGAAGGAATTTTCATTAAAGAATGCAACAGAAGCATTTGATCATCAGTGAAGATTACAAGTAATACATGTATCTGAGCAACAAGTGTTCACAGATTTTAAGTTACAATCTTTTCTAACGGAACCCAATATGGAAATTAGTATAACCTTACTTCACTGCTGCCAATGTATTATATGTACATGAAGCTTTGCTACTCAGATTGTTGAAATTAATTTCATTCATACCCTAGTTGAGGAAGTCAAATGTGGCAACTTCATCAAATTGTTGCTGTTGAGGCTGTCCACCAGGGTTTTGCTGCTGCCCTCGGAGACCTCCCAGCTGCTGCATGTTCAGTACCTGTTGGCGATACTGCGGCTGCTGCTAGACGAAACATTCTCATAAGTTTTTAGTAGAAAGTACCAAAATATTCAACATAGACATTTCTGGGGAAATACAAAGATCAGTTCTCACCATGAAAGAAATTTCTTTTTCATGTTTAGGTGTTCTTCAAACTCTCACGAGCAAATAACACCTTAGGGGCATGTCCATTTCTTGGCCTAGGAAATTGGTAACCCCCGGCGCTACCCATGGTATGAGGCAGACACAGGAGGTTGCAGTTCCCCCTCTCCTGAATTCCACCCTAGGTTCTGCCACAGCAGGCTTTCTCATCCCCCCTGCATCTTATGCCATTGTCCCCTTGAACTTGCCTCAATCTCAGGAGGGGGGGAAACACCAAAGCCCCAGGAAGGAAGATGAGAGCCCTTGGTCTGCAACCCCCTATGTCTGCACTGAGAGCTGCCTAGTTCCCAGGCTTAAGAACGTGACTGACAGACATGGACAGGTGTATAAGGTGTTCTTCACTCAAACGGCTCAAGATAGTGCCCTGTTATGGACTACTGTGAACAAAGTAATGAGCTCCTGGTTTCCACAGCTGAATGATCATCACCCATCTCGATGGCATACCCAGGTCCCTATCTAAAGCGGACTTGACATGCAGGCGGGATAGGAGATGTTGGGTGTTGGAAAGGCCAACGAACAATGGGTCCCTTACAAGCAGAGGAATGCAAAATGACTGGATCAGATTATGACCATCTTATATAGAGAACTGTAGGGCTGAAATCTACTCTCACTTTCTCCAAAACAGCTCTCCCAAGGAAAACTCAATTAATTAGTACTTAGTATTAAATAAATCTCATTTTGGTGTGCAAATTTTCACTGTGTTTGGTGTACAGACATAATTATGTACGTGAAACTTTTACCTGCTGAAGGAGATGTCTGAGCCCAGGATTGTTGGCCAGCACCGGTCTTACCATCCTCTGCTGCTGGTTTGGCTGCTGTGCCTGGGACTGCTGCATACCTTGAGGAGCCATCTGGCGCTGCTGTTGTTGCTGCTGTTGTGTCAGCTGCTGCAGCTGTACACGCAGCTGTTTCTGTTGCTCTTGCTAGAAATCATACCAACTATATATATCCCTTCTACACCAATGTTGACATAAAATCATGGTAGAAACGATTACGAGTTCGGAAATTAAGTAATGACAAAGTGTAAAACCTTACATACACAAAAGCAACTGATTTACATAAGTGTACTTTAGGTTTAACTTTTGGCACTTCATGGCTTAAAACATAAACCCTAGGGATGATAAATTACAGAGGCCATGGTGTAATCCTGGCTGCTACATGTGATTTGTGACGGCATTAATTAAGTACTTCATTAACGCTGAGGAAATATTGGTCTGTACTCACAGGTTATCCCATAATTGGACTTGTTCCCATGATTGAAAAATGCAAATAGAATGATACGACTTACCCATCCATCATGTACCGAATTCTGTGTCATATACAGAGCAAGTAATAACTGCCCGCACACAGACATACAGAGTTCTAAAATGCTGTAGAAAGTGCTTTCTTTCTTTTACAGTGAAAGCACCAATACTAAAATATGAAACAGTGAAAGTGTCTTTGCCAGATAAAAAACATTTGAAATACTGAATAAATGGTAGAAAAAACTGAGTATAATCAATAAAGAACACTGCTTTGAACAACTCTGTGTATTTTATGAAAAGCAGTACCTGCGCAATATCCCGTTATGTACCAAAAGAAAGAAAGAAAGCTCTGGTTGTAGCCTTACCTCCATCTGAGCCTTGAACTGTATTTCCTGCTGCTGAGCCATTTCCAAATTCTGCTGAAGCTGCTGAATCTTGATGTGACTGATAATCTGAATAACGAAACAATTATGATAATAAGTGGTTGAAGTGGGTGGGCAAAATTCCGGAAGTACCTTATAATAGTGTTTAGGCTGTACAAATACCAAATACAGTGAAAGCCGTATCTACTGGAAAATGTCTCTCATATGAAGACCAGAAAATGTAACACGTAAAAACATGTTTAACACACACATGGAGAAAAAATAAAAGGATTTAAAAGAAAATAAAAGGAATACACTTACAAGGTCAGAGTTAAATCATCTGAACATTTTGTAAAAACAGAATATGGTCTACTATCACTAAATTTTAGTGAATGTGATCATACATGTATTCGATGTCTTTGCCATGCCTGGAAAAATTTCTGAATCTCATCATTAACGTTACCAGACAGGTTATGTATTAAATATTAACTGTGACCAATGAAAGACACAGACTGTTTATTAACTGAAAGTATGAACTTCTTTGGCTTACTTCAAGTTGTGACTTGTATTGAAGCTCCTGTTGCTGGGCTGCTTCAAGAGTCTGCCTCAAATGCTGGATCTTTGCCAGGTTCTGCTGACGTGCAGCTTCAATGTTATCGAAAGGTGGGCGCTGAGGGGCCCCTGCCATCATCCCCTGACCACCTCTTATGGGCCCTCCTGCACCAGGCTGTTGTTGGTTGCCACCTGGACCTCCCAAGTGTCTCTCTGCATTCTGAGAAAGTGAATCAAACATAAGACACGCTTTGTTGATAATGTTTTACTAATATTTCCTGAAAGATAAAGTTGGGTTGCGCTGTATAGTCCTACAGCTCTATACCAACATTTTGGAGGAATACAATACCGAATTCTCAGGCAGCCAAAATATTACATGACACAACAAACCGTAAGACCACCATCTACACTCAAAATTACTATAAAAACCTAAAATTCTGCTTCTTGAAAGTTACGTAACACAAAGAGTACACAACCGTATCAAAAAAATACCTCTGTGTCCAATGGGAATAGCATGCATATTACCATTTTTAAAGAGGATCTGCGATCAAAATTCTGTTATCTTTGGCTGTAGTAGCTTGAAAGGCTTGACAAGTAAACTGCTAAGAACATATCAGACAACCGATGGCATTTACCTGCAGAGCCGACAACTGTGCAGGAGAAGCTTGATTATTTCCAGCACCTGGACCACCTGCCCCTTGTTGTCCCAAAGAAACAACCTGCTGTTGCATCTGCTGGGCTGCTGATGTCACTACATTCTGAGTGATCTGGCCACCGCCCATGGTCATTGGGTTAGTTTGAGACATCATGATTCCCCCCTGTGGGCCTTGCTGCGAGTTAGTTTGCTGTTGACCTGGTTGTGGCCCACCTCCCGGAGCCCCCATAGATCCAGACAGCTGCTGCTGCTGTTGTTGCTGCTGTTGTTGTTGTTGTTGCTGCTGTTGTTGTTGCTGCTGCTGCTGCTGCTG